GCTTTTTTAGTTTCGTTGATATATTATTATCATTTTTTTGTGAATATTTTCAATTAAATTTTATTTTTATATGTTTTTTATTTTAATTGTAACGTTTTTGTACTTTTTATTATATTATAATATATATTTAAATTATTATTATTAATATTTTAAGTTATGTATTGTTTTTATTAAGTTTCAGTTTTTAGAGTTTATTTATTTTTAATAATCTCAGTACTAAACAAAACTTAAAATGTTGCTTTGGCCAACAATGTTTTTGGTAGTATTGAGATGCTGTTATAGTTAAAAATAATTCAAATTTTGTATATTAGAGTTTATATATATATATATATTTTACATTTTACATTTTAAGTTTTAATATGCCAAAATAGCTTTCATTAATTTTAATTTCAGTTTTTTAGTTTTAGCTATTTTGGTATGTCAAGTTAATCTAAATGAAAATGAGAAATGGTGCTTTGGCAAGTAGCTGAAAAAAGTTATTCTTTTTTAGTATTTAATTTTATTTCGGTATGTATATTTTATTTCAGTTAACAAAGCCACTAGGTAAGTGTTTTGGTGATCACTGACAATCCCGTGCTTTTTATTGAGACATGGGAAATTATTATTTTTTAAAAATCCTTATCCAGCATGTATGACTTAAAAGCTCATGAAAATGAACCAGTCATAAGGTGTAGGAACCCTGAAAATAGCTGTCTGTTCTCTAGCAAGCAAAGTAAACAAGGAAGGAAATCGTGCAAGAGTGAGTTGCAGAAGACAGCCGTTTTTGTTTCATGGAGATATACTCTTTCATCCTATCTGCTGCTCTCTGTGTCTTTCCCCAAGTGGAAATCCAGCTCAGGGAACGCTGTAGAAAATCCCACTCCTCTGATTAGCACAGAAGCTCTTGGCTAAACTTTTCCAGTTGGCTTGTTTAAGACGGCTCACAGATTACCAAGGCCTTACCCTAAAGCTTGCCAATGTATAGTGTTGATTCCAAGTGGAAATTGATTTAGAAGTTCACTCTAAACCTCTGTTCTGTATGTCACATGAAAATTGAGGATTTTGAAGTCAGTCTTTTTATGTTTGACATAAATTAGGTTAATGTACTGCTTGTTACTTTTGTGAATTTGTTTGCTTTGATTACTTTTCTGGATTCCAACTGTGAAGAGATGATTAGTGCTTGAAGTATTTCTGCAACTTGGTAGCTTTTGTGTTTTGAGACATTCATATTCAGATGCTCACAAGCTTTGAAGGTTTATGCATGATTCAGAACTTGGACAAAGTCAGGCAATGCATTTCTTTGCCGTTAGTTTGTTAACAGCTGATTCTGAGCATAAGTCCAAATTCATACTGCAAATTACATTGTCCACACCTCTAATACATGATTTATTGTTTGATACCCAAGTTGCTAATTTCACGGCAGAATATTTGCTCTTAAATCCATTTTTATTTTCCCATTGGCAGCTTTCTTTGGTGTGCCTGAAAAGACTTGATTTGCTTTTCACGATGGTCTTGTTGCATCTTTCGCTCACCAGTCTTGGCTAACTGCATGCTTTTTTGTTTCTTCTACACCACCATGGCTCCTTATTCCTCCTTAAATTATTCCTTCCCTTTTTGTGTGTTTTACCCACAATGCTTTGACTCGTGCCTGTATATCTCGATGTGTTCTGCTCTGGTTCTCACCTTCCCCCAAAGCCTGTCCGAAAGTTCTGTGTCCCGCCTCAGTCCACTGAGCTGCTCTTGTCCCCCAGTTCTAGTATCATTGACTCCCTAAAACCAAACTCGGATCAAAACGAGTCAAAAAAACACACTTCTAACTCCCTAACGCCAAACTCTATATCTGAGTCTCTCTTGCCCTGCCCAAAGACCCAAACTCTTCCAGCCAAACCCAAAGACAAACCCTTACAATCCGCCCGATCAAACCCCTTACCTGAATCTGAGCCCGAACACATTTCGACAGCCAAGTCAGAACCTTCGACTCCATGTCAACCTCAAGCACCCTGTATACCGGGAAGCCCACTGGTGCGGCGGGCAACCCCAGCCTCCATCATACCCCCTCAACTCTCTGTCCCCTTTAGGCCTGTTGCCCCTCTTTCCCCTATCCGACTACACCACTTCCACCCTGTTCCCGGCTCTGACCACACCACCAAATCTATCCCCACCATACAGGTGACCCCCCACCCCTCTCCAAGGGACAGCCCTATCCCCACCCCCAAAGGAACGCCCGTGCACACGCCTAAGGACAGCCCAGCGGGGACGCCGACCCCTACGCCACCCCCCAGCCCCTCCATCGGGGGAATGCCCTGGAAGACGCGCCTCAACTCCATCAAGAACAGCTTCCTGGGCTCACCGCGCTTTCACCGCAGGAAACTGCAAGGTATTGGTGAATAGAGTAAACAAGCTACAATTCATCTATCCATGCATTCTCCAAACCACTTGTCCTAAGTGGGGTCGCGGAGATGTTGGAGCCCATCCCAGCATCTCGGGCCGAAGAAAGGTAAAACTCTGGATGGATGTCCAGGCTACAATTCCCGACACCATGAAATCTAAATTATAGTTATGTGGTGTTTAATCCATTTCTGTTAGCTTTGAGGCAAATCTAGATATTATTGTACTCATAAAAGTTGACAAGAATAATACATTCTCTTTTGAGATAACCAACGATGAGCCAACAATGTTGATGATGGCATCTTGTCTTATAGCAGGGGTTTCTCAACTCTTGCCCTTGAGGTCCAATTTAATGCAGAGTTTAGCTCCAACCCTAATCAAACTCACCTGAACAAACTCATCAAGGTCTTCAGAATCACTAGAAAGCTACAGGCAGTTGTGTTTGATTAGGGATGGAGCTAAACTCTACAGTGGACCTCAAGGGCCAGAGTTCAGAACCCCTGTCTTATAGAATCTTGTCCAATAAAAGGCTCTATACCAGGGGCGTCCAAACCTGTTCCTGGAGGGCCAACGTCCTGCAGAGTTTAGTTCCAACCAGCTCCAACACACTTGGCTGGAAGTTTCTAGTGAGTCTGAAGATCTTGATTTGCTTGTCCAGGTGTGGTTAATTAGTGTTGGAGCTACACTCTGCAGGACAATGGCCCTCCAGGAACAGGTCTGGACGCCCCTGGTCTAGAATGAGAATGCCCTGTCCCCTTAAAGCCCATGATACACTCACGGTAAATTTCTTATTCGTTCTTTGCTTAGGGGTAAAAAGAAGTGGCTGTGAGCGGGTTTAGATGAGTATGTAAGAGCACACCTACCTATTTTGTAATTGCCAGTGACCAATGGTAGCTCGGAAGTGTTTACTAGCCAAAGTAAACACACCAGTGCATTCTTCGATTTCACTTGAAGTATATTGTAGTCTTAAAGGGTTAGTTCACCCAAAAATGAAAATTCTGTAATTAATTACTCACCCTCATGTCGTTCCAAGCCCATAAGACCTTTTTTCATCTTCAGAACACAAATTAAGATATTTTTGATGAAATCCGAGAGTTTTCTGACTCTCCATAGACAGTATCGGAACTACCACGTTCAAGGCCCAGAAAGGTAGTAAGGACATCTTTAAAATAGTCTGTGACAGTGGTTCAACTGTAATTTTATGAAGCTACGAGAATACTATATGCGCAAAGAACGCAAAAATAACAACTTTATTCAACAATTTCTTCTTTTTTGGGTCAGTCTCTGCTGCCATTCACAAGAGTACCACGACGCATGCGTATGCATTCCTCTGCTTGTAAACAAGCCACAGCGAATCCGGGTTCAACATCAGAATGCCAGCTGCTGCGTCAGTGGCACCATACACATGCGTCGTGATACTCTTGTGAACGCACATTGAAGACTGACACGGAAGAGATTAAATTGTTGAATAAATTAGTTATTTTTGTTTTCTTTGTGCACAAAAGTATTGTCGTAGCTTCGTAAAATTACAGTTGAACCCCTGATGTCGCATGGACTATTTTATCGATGTCCTTACTACCTTTTTGGGCCTTGAATGTGGTAGTTATGATACTTTCTATGGAGAGTCAGAAAACTCTTGGATTTCATCAAAAACTTTTTTTCCCCTTAAAATGTTTCATGGGGTGTTTAAATAAACTTGGTTTGCTATTGGCAACTCTACATTGAGTCATTATAGGCCTGAAATAAAGCTCTTACCTCCTCCAGTTTGACTGGATCTGTTTCATGGCTTGTTGTGGCTAAATGCTCTGATTTACATACTGACTGTAAACTAATATTAAGCCTGCTACCATGGTTACCACTTCACATTGTTTCAGTAGCATCAGTTTCCATTTCTAAATAACTTCTCCTGCATGCGACCCCTTAATGATCCAGTTTTATTGTTGGCATAACCTTTAATCCCAAGCTAAACGGGCAACACGAGACAAATACTCACAAACGATGCACATTTGCATGCAACTATAGGCTCTAATTATATCTGTCCTACATACTGAGATGTTGAATTAGTTAGAAAACTATTTTAAAATGATACACAATTTTGATTACTGACAAAAATGGAACATGCTAACATCCTTGCTTTACTCTGAACAGTTCCCACTCAAGAGGAAATGTCCAGCCTCACGCCAGAGTCTTCCCCAGAGTGAGTACACAGCTTTTTATAGCATGTTACGGATTTCCCATTGACTGCTGTTGTCTTTTTTATTAGGCTTATTATACTTATTTTCAGGAGCCATGAACCTTTTTCATGAGAGAGATAGAAAGCATAATTGTATTTTTATTATTTTTCTATGCATTTATTCTATTATTTTATTTATTTTAGAGAGAGAGTGCATTCTTGGATCACTTACTGCTGGGAATTTTATTAATTTTTTTTTCTTTTTTTTTTGCTACTCATGATAAGACCTGGTCTAGTGTACTTTTAATTAATATTGTCATATAAATGATATGTCAATTTTATTTACTCCCTTTATTTACCTGTTGTTATCATTGGTGCCGTTGGGAGGTCCCTACAGTGTAGGTTGATTTCAGGTTTTATTATTATTATCGGGACATTTGGTTTCCATAAAAATGCCATAATGCGTTTCCAGTCTATGCTGGAAATGCAGCCACCGAGAAACATCCTCTGAAAAAGACGAATAGTAGACCTTGAACAATACTTGCCCAACAACAGTGTTGATGTAAACCCCCCTCAGCACTTCAGAAATCATTGTGAGTTATGTTTGCGTCTGTTAAACCATTTAGTCTTATTTTTCCAGTCTAATGGAAGCTCAGTCATATCTTTCTCCCACTGAGGCGGGTCTCAGCACACAGCAGACAGCAGTCACAAACTCTCTGTCCCCCACACGGAGTGATGCCTCATCCTCTTTTGTTTTCTATTTTGTCTTCCATAACTTATCCACCTCTCTCTTGCTTTCCACGCCAGCTGGATAAGCCGTGGCGCTCTATGCTTTCTTTTGTCATCCTCTGCCAGAAATCAGTTTCTGGAAGCTAAGTTGCGAGCGACTGTGCTTTGTTGATACACAACAGTGGCGGACTGAAGCTTTTTAGAGCTAGAACAATCTGCTTTTTAGACAGATGGTTATTTCTTTATATACTAAAATGAGACCAAATTACAGCTGCTAGTTTAAACACCAGTGGTTTTGCTTGATTTTTCCATCAACAGAGATGCTTTAATTTTGAGTGACCTACTGCAGCAAAAATGCAACAGTTGTTTAATAATATATTTTCCTAAATATGACTTATACTCTGAAATGTATCGTAGCAACATATAGAAATATATTTACAGTTTATCTACAAATATAAAAATTTGAGTAAAAAGTACTGAGTAAAAGTATTAAATTCTGAAGTATTAAAAATTATATTAAAAAACTGATATAAACAGTTATAAATCTAGAATATACATTTAATTTAAAATACTGTATATTCAAATGTAAAAGGTATTGAGATTTACAACCATATATTCCAGATTATTTATTCAGATTTATACATGTAAATTATTATTACAGATTCCCAATTAAGTATATTTTTGTTTACAGTTCTTAAAATATTGAATATAAAATATTATATATAAAAAATGTTTAAACATGGCAACATTCCATAAATATTCAAACTGTGGATATATCTTTTATGAATTTTACAGAAATGATACAGTGGGTGTTAATGATTAACAATTCAGAGCCCATTCATTAAATTATAGATACATCTTCCAAACAATTTTTATCACAGCCAATTTAACTGAAAAGTTGTACCCAAGACTTTGTAGAGGTCAGTGCAACTGCGTTGTGCGCCTCTAAATATGTGATCCAACTTGGCAAGTCTTCTAAAATTTCTATCACAACACATTATGCAGTCATATTTTTGAATATTGTAACCAGTGACTTCTTTAAACACATTTTATGTTCAAAAAATTAATAAATATGTCCAAACATTTTTTTAGCTATGAGTCAAGAGCGCCTTATGGATTTTTATACGACTTCTTTGATTTTTGTCCCATCCATCAATATGACCTCATGCAAAGTTCATCATGTTAATTTGTAGACCCTCTGCTGTGTGCCGTTCTTTCACATACTCCCTTTTATGAATTATTCAATATCAATTCATTTTGCATAAGCGCCATAGGATCTATCTTATTCTGAGCTCTGATAAGGACTGATCTTGTATCCCCTGAAGACTTCATAAAAGCTTCATGTTTCATATTTCTCTCACTCTGCAGACTTGCCAAAAAATCTTGGTTTGGTAACTTCATCAATCTAGAGAAAGAGGAGCAGATCTTCGTGGTTATTAGGGACAAGCCACTGAGCTCTATAAAAGCCGACATCGTCCACGCCTTTCTCTCGGTAAGTAATCTCTTTTGCATGCCTCCAATCCCGTTTCATTCCTCTGTTGTAAACGACAGCTATGAATATTTAAATATATGGTTCTGCGTTCTCTCTATCAGATTGAAAGACTTTGCCCGTCGCACTGGCTTTAATAGGCTTGGCCGGAAGCCTGTGTTTTTACATTTGCAAATACCTTTCTGATTTGTGTTTCAATTCTGTAAAATGCTAGTCGGTGATGTTTCCATCCTCCCCGTGGCTGCCTCTTTCATTAGAGGTCAATGGAAAATCAACGCAGGGCATGAATCATTAGCATATAGATGTTGTGCCTCGAGAGGTTTGTGCAGAAGAGAAGGGAGTTTAGTCTGTCGTTTAGACCCGTTTTAAATGTGCGCTTAAAAAGTTGCTTGTCATGGTTAGCGACGTTTTCCACGCCTTCAGCTATGCAATAGTAAAGGTGCGGTCATATTAGCGCAGTTTCTGCAGAATAAAAGTTGAGTGTCAATAGTGCTAGGTAGATTACTTACTAATTGTGGTCTGGTACTTATTCCAAATTACATGACAAAAATTGTAGTTAGGAATGTAATCAGTTACATTACACGCTTTATATAATTGGATACTTTTTGATTACTTTTGACCTAACTCGTTTATCGCATTGATTTAAATAGCATAATGTTGTACAATATAGATATAAGAAATACAAAGAGAAAGAAAATAATATATAAAATATTTTGTTTACTTGCATGTCATGTGACATTAACCTGCATCAGAGGACTGTGAACATGCAAATGTGTTACAGAATTATTAACTTGCTACCTTAAAATCTTAGGGGGTAAATACATTAGGTGAATTGTGAATAGTTTATTGCTATTGTGTGAATAATATGTAATCATGTAATCAATAAAAAAGCAACTGCAGTCCAATAGCAAGTATTTTAAAATGTAATTTAATAAAGAGTTAGTTCGCTTCCAGAATAAAAATTTCCTGATAATTTACTCACCCCCATGTCATCCAAGATCCTCATGTCTTTCTTTCTTCAGTTGAAAATAAATTAAGGATTTTGAGGAAAACATTCCAGGATTTGTCTCCATATAGTTGACTTCAATGGGGATCAACGTGTTGAAGGTCCAAATTGCAGTTTCAAAGGGCTCTACACAATCCCAGTTGAGGAATAAGGGTCTTATCTAGCGAAACGATCGGTCATTTTCTAAAAAAAAATTTATATACTTTTTAACCACAAATGCTCGTCTTGCACTAGCTTGACCTCACGCATTACAAAGTCACGTTGGAAAGGTCACCTGTGACGTAGGTGGAAGTACCGACCCAGTGTTTAGCACAGCGAACGTGCAAAGAAAGTCAAACGGTCTTTACAAATAAAAGGTAAAACAGCGATATCAGACTATTTTGAAGTTGGAGAAAATAAGTTTTTTGCCCCACCCTACCTTTTTGAACCGGAGTACACAGACGAAGAACTAACCGACCCAGTGACCCAGTGATTTTCTTTCGTGACCTTTCCAATGTGATTACGTATTGTGTGAAGTCATGGACGCGAATCGCAGAGCTAGTGCAAAATGAGCATTTGTGGTTAAAAAGTATGTAAAATTTTATTTTTTAAGAAAATGACTAATTGTTTCACTAGATAAGACCCTTATTCCTCGACTGGGATCGTGTAGAGCCCTTTGAAGCTGCATTGAAATTGCAATTTGGACCTTCAACCCTTTGATCCCCATTGAATTCCACTATATGGAGAATGTTTTCCTCAAAAGCCTTAATTTCTTTTCGAATGAAGAAAGAAAGACATGAGGATCTTGGATGACATGGGGGTGAGTAAATTTTCAGGAAATTTTTATTCTGGTAGTGAACTAATCCTTTAATTGTTGGAATCTGATTACATAATCCAGATTGCATGTAATCAGTTACTACCCAGCACCGGTAGCGTTGTGAGTAGCATAACTCAAGCAGCTTTCTTTGGGTCAACACAGTGAATTCCCATGACCAACTTGATCTCGATATGAAATCTGCATGTGGAAATCTTTCACCCTTACACGAAATTCCCAAACTTTCCTATTGCAATGACTGGATTTTGCTCGTGACCATTTCCCAAGCAATGGTAAATGGAGAAATTTCAGTGAAATTTTGCAGGCTAAAAAACATCCTTTGGCAATAGCGTAGTGAAACTCAGACAAATCAACTCAGAAGTCACTTTTAAATAAAGCAGCATTTTGTGAATTCCCATGGTGACTTGAACCTAATGCGAAATCTGTGAGATCTGAAATTCCCAAAGACCTAGATTCCTATTGAAATGACTGGATTTCACCCGCGAAAATTCACCAAATAACCGTACATGTGACCACACCTTAATAAACAGCCACACTTTTCCAAGTTTCCATTGATGTTCTTCATAGGTGCTTTCAAATATGTAACAGTGGATCGATCCTTGCCTTCCTCAGATACCCAGCCTCAGTCACAGCGTTGTCTCGCAGACGAGTTTTCGGGCCGAGTACAAATCCACCGCCGGCCCCACCGTCTTCCAGAAGCCTGTTAAGTTCCAGGTCGACATCACGTACACCGAGAGCACCGCGGCCACCAAGGAGAATGGCATTTATTCAGTCACCTTCACTCTGCTCTCAGGTAACCACAGCAACCGCAATCAAGCCGCTGCTACATCAGCGCTCATCAAGACCATAGAACGCCAGCGTTGCTTGAAATAAAAGAACATAGCCGCGAGTAAAAGGTGAATTATTTTATCTTTCTCCATGATGTTGAAGCATATTTGGGATACTTTCATTAAATCTGTCAGAATAACCTACAACAGTATTTTTAAAAGGAAAAAAAGAATCCAATGTAGCGCACTAGTTGGGTCAAGCTGGCAATATGGCTGGATGAAAAACGCTAAAAAATATATCTTGATATTTTCTGCCTTTTGACGATCAGTATGTCTTTTTCGATATTCATGTATTTGCTCTTAAATAGATTAAGAGTATTTTTTCATATATGTCATATTATATATGTCGTATTATGTCATATATTTTGCAATATATATTCGCCAAAAAATATAAAATAAATAATAAATATAATTAAACAATTTCAATTTATATTCACCAATAAACCTAAACATAGTTGATATACAAGGTTAAAATCTTTGTCAAAATTGTCAGTAAATTTCACAGAGAAACAGCAAGCAACACATTGAATTAAATTCTGAGTTAAAAAGACTGAAATAGTAATTTTTTGGAGACATACTCCAATTATTTTAGTTTTATTTACAACTTAAAAATTTTTTTTTACATTGTAGTCTAATGACATTGCGTCTCATTCAGTAATAATTTAGCAGATTATTCATATTTAACATAGGAGAACTTCTAACAAAAATTATCCGCCTAATTCACAACACTGTACGTACATGAATTCGGTCTGAACCACATTCTTTTGTTAATGTATTTGGAGTATTATAAATTAGCATCCGTGTGTCCAAGGTTAGTCATTTGCATAAAACACATCCAAAACATATCCATGTAAGGACTTTTCAAAACAATCTTTCCTTTGCAGATTTTTGTCACTCTCAGGCTCAGCAATCATGTGACGCATATGTATAATGAAATATGATTAAGACTAATGTATATGAGGCCACCTAGAGTAAGTGCATACATGTGTTTTTTTTTTCATTAATAAACAATACATTTGAGTACAAAAGTTAGATAAGTTATGTAAAATGTTTGTACGATTTCACTCACATATTGGTGCTTACGCATTGTTAGTGAATGAGAAATATTTAACATAAAGCCCATTCCTGACAGTCTTACATTTAGTCTTGCCAAGAATTTTCTTTCTGTCCTCTAAGGATCAATTCTTACAAAAATTTCCATTTAATTCTCAAAACGAGTCAAATAGCCTCTTACACACTAATTATCCCATCAGTATACTGCAGGTCACAATAACAACATAAGATAAATAGAACACCTAAAAATAATGCATCATCTAAGGCATTATTCTCCCTTATTTTTTGCCATTAATATCCATTATGTCTCCTCATGATAGCGCCAGCAGCAGCTCTTATCCACTACAGCGTGCAGGATGTTAAATAATGTTGTTGTCCACCTAGAAGAGATAAGAAAGACTGCAAGTTACAAGTAGTTTTACAATAAATTCCTGTCAGATTCTTAAAAAGCTCAAATCTTTTGTCTGTGGAGCTTTTTTCACTAGAATGCAAACCAAGTGAACGAGTACTCGATTAATCGGTATTAAGGAAACCCCGCCCCAACTTCCTGTTTCAAAATGTCAACGGGGTTTTATATGTGACCTCTTACACTGTATTGTAGGTCCAAGCCGGCGTTTCAAGCGGGTGGTAGAAACGATTCAGGCGCAGTTGTTAAGCACACACGACCAGCCGGGAGTCCAGCAGCTGTCTGGTGAGTATAAATCCCCCCGTCCTTTCCCCGACTCCGTCCCGAGCCCCACGATCCCTCTCATGCCTGTTTATAACCCTCCTCCATCATGCATGTCAGCACACCACAACACAGCATCACAGTATTCTCCACATGATCCCACCCTAAAGCAATCCCCACTGGGACGCTAGAAGATAAGGGGAGTTTTCCAATTCGTGGTGATTCCCTTCGGCCACACTGCTGCTCCCATTTCTCAGACGGCATTAACGGTAGATTTTCTGACAGTTCTCTAAATGTGGACACTTCAGCTTCATGATTTCTAGTTTTAGGACACGGTGTCCTTGTTGGATGACCAATCTGGACTGGTTATGTAAAGGTTCCTGGTACCTTTTTAGGTCGGGATAACCCTAAAACCAACGTCTTGCTCTGTCTGCATCAGCTATTGTGCTAAACCAACCAGAGCACACAAATCAGGAACATTATTATAAAATATCAAGTTCTGGAAAAGTTTTCGCCCGTATATACCCTCTATTACCTTGAACTATCCAGAGCATCAAGGATGAACGGCTGAGTATGTTTTTTTTTTTTGTTTTTTTCAAAGGAGAATCGCAAAGTAAAGCCACTTTTCCATCCTATTCTCCGTCCACCCCGTGCACGTCCTCTCTTCTTGACACATGATGCTATTTGGCTGTGTCCCAACCATCTCCCTGATAACAGCTCCACCTAGTGGTCTGTTAGGCAAACAACAGCATCTAATACAAAAAAACCAATGCATATACCTACCCTACAGATTATTATTATTATTTTTCCAAATGCACACCCCAATATGATTGTTTCAGTAACTACTGGTAATGGATCTCCAGGGATATTTAGTTATAATTAACAACTTTGATGCTCTCTTCCTGGTATTTGTTCAACACTGACAAAATATGATGGGTCTGTATATGGCTAAAATAGTTATAATTTAGAATAATTTAAAATAATTATATAAATGAAAGGCTCCATTTATTTGACCGAAATACAGTAATATTGTGAAATATTATTAGAATTTGAAAGAACTGTTTTCTATTTGAATATGATAGAAAATTTTAATTTTAAATGTAATTAAAATGTCATTTATTCCTGTGATGGCAAAACATTAATCCAGCCTTTAATGTAACATGATTCTTCAGAAATCATTCTAATATGCTGATTTGTTGCTCAATTATTACTATCATTATTATTATCAGTGTTGAAAAGTTTTTGCTGCTTAATGTTTTTTAATATTTCTGGAGAAACTGATATTTTTCATGATTTCTGATGAATGAAAAGTTAAATTTATTTGAAACAAAACCTTTGTAACATTAGAAATGTTTTTACATTCGCTTTTTTGGTCAATTTAATAAAAAAAAGATCAAATTTACAATAAAAGATATTTATAATAATTCATTATACTTATCCTTGCTTTATATGTTTCTTGAGCAGTAAATCAGCATATTAGAATGATTTCTGAAGACTGGAGTAATGGCTATTGATAATATTTGTGAAGTGAAAAGCTGCATGTATATTACAAACAAATTCATCAAGTCTTTTTTTTCCCCCATTTCAAACTGTATTGCTTCCTGCTAAATCATGAGTCCATAATCCATAACACTTCCTCCAGTAAAAAAAGTCGTCACGTCTGAATCAGGAGAGAAATATGCACTGATCAACCATCGTTTACAAGTGAAAACTGTTCTAAAAAATTGAGTGGATTTTGATGTGAGAGGGCAATAGGTTGGACTTTTTCCATTGGAAGAAGTTTTATTATAGATTATGGAATCATATTTTGGCCAGAAGCGACGGTTTAGAGTTAAACATGCAGCTTTTTGCTTCGCAAGACGTTAATTGATGGACTGGAGATGGACTCTTGTGGATTATTGTGATGTTTTTATCAGCTGTTTGGTGTTTTGTCGACACCCATTGACCCATTAATTTCTGGGAGAACTATTCCTTTAACAGAAACTGTGAGTATTGATATAATTAACCATGGTTCAGTTTGGGATTCCAGAAATGTCAAGAACTGTATGTTTTTCAATAAGTTGGAAAATATATAAAATGTATTAATATTAATTTAAAATCCTTTTGAGTTTTAATCCTGTGGCTCGCTTAACAGTTTGCTGAGGCCCCCTGTTTAAGAACCACTGGTCTAATAAAATGACATTCATTTTAAGTGTGCAACCCAGGCTCAAGAAAATACAGGCCTCTTTATACATTTCTGCAACACTGTAATTATATACTTAAGTGTGCGTTTCGCGGCAGTTTCAAAGTGAAATGTCCAGAGAGTGGCGCTAAAACACACGTTCAATAAGTGACCGTGGCACGTTTTTATTAGGTTGGTACAGGCACGTATTGCTGCGTTTTTTTATGCTATTTGAGGTACGTATTGCAGCTGTTCAGAATTCAAATATCCGGGGAGTGTCGCTAAAGGTTAATGCTCTGTCATATTGGATATATCCCCCATACCAATCCCAATCCAACCCTAAACCTACCCGGTAGTGTTAACAAATACAATAGTGATATAAAAAGCATTTGCTGATGCAGACGTGCTATTTTAACTTCCTTATGCGGATTTGAGCTGTTTTATCAAACTGTATTTTAACGGGGTTCGTACCGAGCTCTTCATCACTCAAGTGCAACGCCGTATCGCGTGAGCTACCGCGCAAACCTACTGTATTAGAAAACTCATGCATACGAAGCTGTATATGTGACGAAAACATTCAGAAGTATCAGTTTTCAAATTGCGCAGGATGTTAAAATTGTTTTAAAGTCATAACATACTATTCTGCAAGTAATTGTGTGAAAATTTATCGAAACTCTGTACCTATAAATCATACTTTGTGTGAAAAGGAATAAAAGTAGTTTAAAAGGAGTTTTACTGCCTCTAGTGTTCATTTCAACTGGAAACTGCATTGATTCGTACAAATAGGTACGTTTTTTCAGTTTTGCAGAAATGTATATAGAGGCACGTATTTCCAATGAGCCTAGGTTGTAAGTGTGACTTAAAGTGATAGTTCACACACAAATAAAGATTCTATCATCATATACTCACATTCATGTTTTTCCAAACCTGTATGGCTTTCATTCTTCTGCAGACATGAGGACAGAATTTTCCTGTTTGGGTGAACTATCTCTTTGAGTGTCCAAAACGTTTTTGGGGTCACTAACTACTTTATCAGGCACACATCCACCTTCTTTATAGCACTTGTAATGACGCATGTCCTTACATCCTATTTAAAGTGCACCCAACCCCATAAATACCCTTTCACGTGTAACGTAACTGAATCAGTAAGTGTGTGGCACAGTTTTTTTTTTTTTTTTTAGGTTTTGTGTTCTTACTGTTAAAATGAGCACAACACAAACTGGTTGTTACCTTCTTAGTGTGTATGTGGCTTACAAATCTGGTCTTAATTTCTTGACTATGTGAGCCAAACATATGAGGCTGTGCATATGTACACCAGAGGCTCTGATGTGCCCCTAAATGTTCAAATGAACCCTACACCACTGTGTGCCAGTTGGTGTAGTTGTGCAGGTTTGCATGTGTATTCATGAGTTTGGAAGTATCCTAAATCAAGTACACTAAAGGGGGTTTTCTCATGCAGTCAGTTAGCTCAAGGCTAGTCTGAGCCTCAGATGGACTATTCACAGACCGTCTGCTGCATATTACACACAAATGCCAATACATTTTGAAAATCGCCATTTCCAGTCGCCAGTTCCAGCAATCAGGATGCACAGGTTTTTAATAGCCTGCCAAAAAACAAAAAGTTTACAGAACTTCTCTTAGAATGAGTGAAGGAACTACTTACTGCATTTGCCAAAGTTTGAGGTTTATGCCACTGAGTATTTGAAAGTTATTCAAATATCTGAAACAGTTTAAATTGTTTAATTAAATGTTGCATGATTTTTATAATGTAATTGCGTGAAGGATCATATGTAAATGCTAATAACCTAAGCTTCTGATATATTATGAAAGCAATTTTTGCCACAGGATAAAAATGGGCTGCCCTCGACTAAATTTTTTTCTGATCGACTAATAGTTGTTTATTTGAAGCGATTAGTCGACTAATCACACGTTCATATTAATATACCATATAATTCATAATAATGAACCTTAATTGCTTATAGCCTATCAGTGCTCAAGTGCACGCATAAAGCTTGCCACAGCAGCAGAAGTAATGAAGAAACAGCAAGAAGACTGCCTTAACATTATAATAATTAATTGATAAACTAGTCTTTTCACCGACTCATCATCTCCACAGTGGACGTGCACATTATATGGATAACATAATCTGAAAATATTTGTTTTCCATTTGATCTGGTTCAATTAAAAGTAGATATTTTGCTTTCTGTTGATATATTTTCATGTCTGTGAGGCAAGCAGGAGCTTAGGTTCCTTTTTTTTTTAACGCTCAAGTTCACAGAGACCTAGATGGCATAAAGCGCACCCTATTTGCTTTCATTATTTTACAAAAGCACAATTATTTGTTGTTATTGTGAGTGCACACACAAATGCAAGTAGACCTTTTACAGATTAAAAAGATGAATTACTCTTATCTGTATGAGCAAAAATGAGTATTTTAAGTTAAATGCAAATGATCGCACCGGTGCCTCCAAGTTAACTGTCATGCAGTGAGCATGATACTGTTCAGCTTCCACACTCCACAAACACTTCAATAGTGCGCATTTTTCTCGAGGTTAATGTTAAAGCAAGCTGCCATGTAATGATGCTACTACTTACATGTTTCATAAGCCACATTTGAAGATTTTTTTTTTCTGTGACTAATAACATTTTGATCGACTAAGCCTGTATAGACTTTGATTAAAACATTGTGAACAATGTTTGTAGACATTGTAGTCTTTCATCCAAAATTATTTTTCATGAACATAATTACAAAAACAAGGCCGAATATAGAGAGCTTGATGATATCTTGTTGATGTATATTCCGCCTGTGTAATATGGTGTGTAATTGAACCGGACAGATGACACTTCATAGGCTTATGTGACTTTGAGGAGTGAGCAGAATGAAGATTAAAGGGTACATTGTACCCATGTGTGGGTTTCCTGACTGATCTACGTGTAATTCTCTCTGCAGTGACAGATGTACAGATGCCACATCACTTCTCTCATTACTTTAGAGCCTTTTCTAATTATCTAGCCTTTCTCATGTTGGCTATATAAAGCCATATGAGCCCATGTGCCTCACACCTACCAGGGCTAAAACCACTAGCGTAGCCAGGAATTACAATGTCGGTGGGCCCAGAGAAAATTGGGTGGGCCTAGCCTAAAATGCATCTGTTATCAAAATAGGCCAACACAACTAACAGTTACACCTGCTTGAATAGAAATCACCATTTAATCAGAGCATAAGCCTGTATGTCATTATAAGCAGTGTTAAAAACATAACGATAAGAACAGCATTAGCACGGCGGCCACACCACACGCGCGCATCTGACAGACGAACAGCATCAAATCAGCAGGACAGTAGCTAGTAGTACAGAAGTGGACAGAATGTAACCATGCTTGGTCATAGTCTGGCCCAGCGGCCACATAAACGAAATAAACAACGGTGACTAGGCAACTACATAGTAGGAAAATGTAGATTCATGTACCTGTACACTGGCGTGTAGGGGAGGTAGATGCTGGAGAATGGAGCGCTGCTGGTGATGGAGAAATATGTGAATTAACGTTAGCACTAGCAGAGCTGTTCAGCTGCTTGAGCGTAGAATACGCGGGGGACGTTTCATTCATACTCGAAGCCGGAGGGCGCTCTCTCTCGTAGAAAGTACAAAACAGGATTAGGCTACCTTGTGAAGCAACTGACTAGATGGGCCTGACCGACAGGTGGGTGGGCCCAGCAGCTACGCAACTGGCTAAAAGCATCTTTAAAATCAACATGAAATCAAAATCCACTCTCTTTACTTTAGTAATAAATGTTCCTGGTTTTATTTCAAATGATTTACAAGTACAACCTAATAAAAAGATGTTTGTCTTTTAGCAAATAACTGAAAACTAACTTGCAACTAACCTGCCTGACTGGCGCCCCCTGGCCAGAAATAATGTTAGCTAAAGGTATTTATCTGTTTTAGGTACTGTTGTTACACCAATCTCACCGGTTAACAAGCAATTTAATGCCTTTTAAAGTAGGTACTTCAAATAGTAAATAACAATAGATTTGAAAAGAAGTGTCAAAAATGCTCTTGGGGATGACCTTTAACCTCCACCTCCAGGTCAAATAGCCTCCTCAAAAAGTAGTGGTATACAACAATCAACTACAAACTCACATTTGATTCCGTCTTGAACCTCAGCAAACAATTGCTTACGGAGAAAAAATCAAGTCCCACCTTAATTCTTGGAGGATTATTCTTTTTTCACTTGGATTCTTTTTTCTTCCTGGCTGAAGTAAAATGGGTTGCAAACGCTGTTTCACGTTGACTTTAAGGTGGTAGCTCTGTTATGGAACACAGCAGATGGTTTCTAGCTGGTCCAAGCTGGTTTAGATGGTTGACCAGCTGAACTACTTGCCGTTGGAGACCTGTCTGAGCTGGTAGACCTACTTGGTTGCAGGAAAACATACAAGTCCCACCTTAGTTTTTTGGAGGGAATATTCTGTTTTGCTCAGATATGCATCTTGTCAGAAGTAAAATGGGTTATAAATGCTGTTTCATGTTGATTTTAAAGTGGTAGCTCTGTTATGGAACACAGTAGCTGGATTATAGCTAGTCCCAAGCTGGTTTAAGAGGTTGACCAGTTGAACCACCAGCAGTTAGGAACCCCACTGAGCTGGTACACTACCTTGATCAAAGGACATTGCTGTAAAAACCAGGTCATACCATCTTAAGATGGTCAAGTTGCTTTTAGAACATGCAAGCTGGTTTATTGCTGGTCCAAGAGTGTTAATTTGGCTGAGCAGCTAGTGGGAACCTAGTTGAACTTGGGCTGGAAAAACCAGATCAAGCATATTTTTGGCAGTCAAGGTGATTTATCTGGTCCAATATGGTCTACTAGCTCAGCCAATCTGGTAGTCCAGCTCATCAACCGTCTAAACTGCAGCTAATTATGTTGCTGTGGCTATGTTCCTGTTGCTCAACTCGTAGAGCATAGCACTAGCTACACCATGATTATGGTTTTTATTTCCAGTTGCAAGCCAGCTTGGACAAGCTAATGGCCAGCTAGAAACCAGATAGCTACCATTTTAAGCTGGTTTTATCAAGTTTAACCAGTGAATCCTCATATCTTATACAGAATTTCCAACTATAAAAGTTTGTGTGGCCGTCAAAGCTTCTCCAAGTCTTAGTCTTCACATTTTCCTCCTCTTTCTCTTCCCTCTCCTATCTCTTTCCCCCTTCTGTCCACTTCTCCTCGTGTGAGCCCATTGTTCATTTCTCTATTTGTTCTCTCTTTGTCTCTCTTTTTTTCCTTTTCTTCCTATCTGTGTACCTAGGCAGCCCATTGAGTAACTTCTTTGACGTAATTAAACAACTTTTTTCAGACGAGAAGAACGGTCAGGTGCCTCTTCCACCTGGCACGCCCAACAGACACCCACCTAACGCCTGTCGCCACGACCCTCAGCCTAGTGACTCTAAATGCCCAGCGGGCAATCCCAGGGACAATGCCAAGCTGGTAGCAAACGTTGGGACACAGGAGCAGCCCTAAAACTTTACCAGTCAAGCTTTTCAAACGTACCTACAAAAGAACTCAAAATGTACATAATCTTAGAGGTGATGGAATTTTTATTTGGACAAACTTTTGTATGATGGAATGACTGTTTAAAAACAAATTCTGACACAAATCCAGACACATTTCCCCTTTCACCGTCTCTGCCATGTCCTTGTGCCAGTCCCCCTCTCGAACCCCTGTCGTTTCTACCCCAGATATTTTCTTGTCTTTACATCTGTCTTCCCGTTTTCCTCACCTTTGTGACGGCTTGTCTTTGCTGCTAGGAATTATCCAGAAAACGTATTAAAACTCCGCCCCCCACTTCCCTGCACATCCTGAGATGGACAGTTATTGACAGACGGCACTTTTCATGATGAACAAGCAGGTTTCCAAGGAGATGGACACTTCATCCTTCATCACACTCTTTCCTTCCCGCTCTCCGCTCTCTCCGAGGACTAAAATACAAACACCCACACTTGTTCCTACTCAACCTGTGTGCTCCCCTGCCATCATCTCAGCACACCAACCAGTTAAAATGGTTGACCAGCCGGTGGGAACTGACTGCAAAAAAAACTGGCTCTGTTCCAAAATGTAGTGAGCTTCCTCAAGGTATCTCACTTTGATTAAGAGACCCTTAATGCAATGCAACAAACTTCATAAAAATCCATTAAAGATGACAGAGAAAGCACTTAAATCAATCTAATAAAACTGAGGACTCAGTATTTGTATTTTATGTGTTTTTATGCACATTAAAATTTGGAGCTATTAGCTTAGCAACATGCTAATGGCAAACTCTGCTGAAATCAATTAAGAATCAAGTATCCAGTGTGCACAGTGTAAGGAATGCCATTTGTATGTCACATGGAGTTGCTTCCTATGAAGAGGGAAGTTGTTAATTTAGCAATATGCTAATGGCAAACTTTACTGAATCTATTGAGAATCGAGTTGTTTGTTGTGTGTTACACGGAGTTGCTGTTTCTGAATTATGGAAGCTTATTTTTGCCATGGAATAAAAAATTAAAAAGGTAATTGTGACTTGTGACTGAATTCCATGGCAGAAAAACAAAACACAATTCTGACTTTTTTCTTGCAATTGCGAGAAAGAATTCACAAATGCAAGTTATAAACTAGCAATAAGATTTTTTTTCTCATTATTGCGAGGTTATATCTTGCAGTTCTGAGTTTATGTCTCACATTTCTGAATTGTCAGAATTGTTATTTAAAAAGTCGCAATCAGGCCTAACTTTTTTTTCTGCTGAAAATAAGCTTCCTTAATAAAGCGCATTTTGGGGGTTACAAATGAGTTAAGAAACTGCCTTAAAGGCACAATATGTAAGATTTTTTTATTAAAATATCCAAAAACCACTAGAACAGTGTGTGTCATGCTCGTTCAGCGGCCTCGTTTCGCTTCCACGGCTTTCAGCCTCACCCTGCTTCATTCTACTACGTTAATAAATCATTAGCTCATCCATGAACATGATTTCTGCCCGAGTCCCGTCGGATTGCATCGGCTGTGAGGATGAAGACCACAACTCCCATGATTCCACACTCAGTCACTGCCTCATCAAACTACGCCTTTGCCTCTTTGAATACTCGCCCTCTAGCGGCGAAAATTACATATTGTGCCTTTAAACCTGGTATGCAAAATTTTAGCCTTGATTTTGCCATCTAAGACAAATTTTCAGTAAACAAAATATTTGTAAAATTGTTTATTGTGCTTTAGAAGGCAGCTCACTAGGTTTGGAACAGATTCACATGTAAAATACTAGACATAAGCACACACTCAACTCTTGGATGTTTGACTCAGATTCATAAAGACCATAGAATAAAAAAAAACTAATCACAAATCAAGAAGGAAAAGATGACTTTGAGAGCTTGTCGTGGAGGATGTGGACTTCTTCAAATTGAATCGTGTCCATTTGCTCTCTTTTTTATTTATTTATGACTTTATGTTTGAAGGACATCACTTGATCTGAAATCATTGCTGCAAAAGGACTGAAACATGGATTTCAGTGAGTTTGGGATGGGTTGGGGTGGGGGGAATAGTACTGAATGAATTTATCCTAATGAATGAATCTCTGTTGTACAGATTGAACATAATTATGTACAAATCAAATGTCTAGATGTGACACTAGCTTTAGGTCTGTTGTAGATTCAGATTTGAAATATTGTATTGCCAGTCTTTATTTAATTATTATTTAACCCTTTTATTTCTGTATTTATTATGTGATGGAACAATTTGTTTCATTTAATCGATTTCGGTAAACACTGATATACAGTGATTTGTCTGTTTTATTTATTTACTTTTTTGCTGATCATTCTCATCTTCACTACCAGCAGATACAAAAAATGTTGAATACATTGTGGATATTTTTGTATTTCTCCTTCTGTTTTATCTCTGTCCTTATTTATTATCATGTAATTATATATATATATGAGAACTTGAATGTTATTTATGACAATAATGTGTTTGTTTGTATCAGGGCAACACAATTTTGTTCGTTTAAAGAACCTTTCTTATGTCTTGATTTGTAAAAGTACCGTGGACTTTACGAATCTTTCTTTCCTAGCTTCAAAAGAGAACAAAATAGTATGTAAAAACATACAAACCACAAAAAAGCAAATTTAACAGTAATTTAAGAATGTAGTTTAGCCTCTGTGGGGAGGAACTGAACTTCTTGATATCAATGTCAGCTTCATATCATTGTGTGTGTGCAATGGATGACACAAAAGCTGTTCTTGGATCAGTTCTACTGTAAATATGATGTGGTGGCCTTCGGGAAACTCGAAGGCCATTCCTGCTCTTTGCTTTTGACTTGTATTGCTGTGTGCATGCACGCATTTTCTTTGCATGGCTTTGACGTAACAATTCTCAGAAATCACGCTATTTTCTCAGAACAGCTTTCCTTACATTGTTTAATGGGAAAAAAGAAAAACACCTGCCTTCACATTTTTTCCCTCTGTTAGTCTCTCTGCAACTTTTTTTTCGTTCTCTTCCTATTTTCCTGTCATGTTTTCTTCTATCTACGTTGTAAGCAAGCAACGTGACGCAGCTTTCACTAACTTGCAGTGTCTACACGGTAGGCTATAAGTTTATAAAATGCTTCCTTTTATCTGTACCATGTACCTCGAACGAGAACGTTTCGGATGTTCACGGCCCCCTGTTTACAGACAGCTTGTTTAAATGAAACTATAATAAAGCAATACCTGTTGTTAACTTTCCTATTTTATACAGTTATAAAGCAAAACTTCAATGAAGAAGAAAAAAATGTCCATGCAGGCAGGAACATGCATTAAAGTTGTAAAAAAAAATCCCCTTGTATCATAAATGTGAGCAATTTCAGAGAGAAAAATGAAACAATAAACTCATTCACTTAATAGGATAAGTGACTGTTCATGTTTGCATTTAACTGAGTGGATGTGTTTTTATCTTTCAAACAATTATATAGACTTCATACAGTATAGGATGTTCATGATAGGCCTACGAAATTACTTTGTATGTACACAGAAATGCTGAAATTAACTTTTGTGATTTAAATAAGAATTATTTTCTAATTTAAGTAGCCTACTTAAGCTTAACATGTTAGATATTCTCAAATTTTTTAGAACTTTTTTACTGTTATATGCACAGTAATAGCTACAACTGAGCAACTGTTCAGTTTGTCACTGTTGTTATAGCTAGATCTAATAACACTAAATACATTAATATTGTTTTGATATTATTAATTTAATACTATGAGGTTCCATCTGTTTCAAAAATGAATGCGCAAGTTAGTCCTCGAATCTGATTGGCCGAGCAAGTGCGTTTCGCGACTTTTCACTTTGTTTGTATCACTCCGCTTGTTTGTGTTGGCGGTTTCCAGACAGATTCGGCGCTTTACGCGATAAAAGGTAAGTTTTCTATGTTTTACAGAGTTTCTGTTCTATAACCATCTAGGAGGCAATAATAAAATGTTTAATTATTGTTCGTATATCAGTGGACATCACTTGTATAGCCGTTATGAATTGACTGGATAATTTACCTCAGAGCCTAAAATAGTGTTCACAGTTGGAGTGTTCTTGTTTCCCTTAGGCTATATGTAAACAAGTGTATAACATGTCAACGGTTATGTCCGTTAACTATGTATTATGAATAATGTTTAAATGGTTTGTTTCTTATTAATCTGATGTAATTTAGCCTACTCACCTTACCTTTCGTTGCCGATTGCAGAGAGAGTCTGCCAGCAAGATTTTCTGATTGGTAGTGATTTTTTTTTGTGTGAATGACTTGAGGCTGGAATACAACGCTTCTGTATAAAACACAGGGTTATGCATAAATGGTGAGGACATTTAGTGGTTCTTTCTGCGGGTTTATTTTTACGGCAACATTTTTTTTTTTTTTTGGTGACTCGTCGATGAATCATTTACTCAACTGATTCGTTCTAAAAAGCATTGATTCATTCAGGAACGATCCACCGCACCATTTACTGTGTGTAGTTCCCAGTTGCTTGGAGAATCTGCATAGGCCTACTGGGAATTATAAAACAAAAACAGCGAGTTGTAGACTGATGTGTGCAAGAGAAAGTTCATGTTTAATGAAGGGTTTTCAAATGTTTTTGTCTGCTGAACCCATATGACTTTATTTTAAAATAGAATATTTTGTATAAAACAAATCATGTTCTAAACATTTGACAAACATAATGACTCATTTTTGTATATAGGTTAATGTCAGATTATATCAGATGTTAGCCTATGTTTTGCATTTTACAGATTAAAAATAGCCTACTTAAAGCTGAGTCATTCCTTGTCAAATCAAATTTCAGAAACTTCCCCGGTTCAGATTTTTGATTTTGTTCATATTTTTTTCTGAAGAAAATCAAACATAAATAGTGATAAAAGTCAAAATATTAAATGTCATGGATGTTACAGGTATGCAAACTTCGGAAGAGGAACTTTTTTATGTTCTAAGTATGTTCAATGCAGTTGATTTGCTAAAGGGAAACGATTTATTTCTGCTTTCTAGATTATTAATTCTTCAGACATTCTTCTTGAAATACAGTAAGTATCGGCTGTATTCAATCCACATTTGGTTTTCAACCATTGAAAATGCATAAAATTAATTTATTTGGACATATCACATTGAGATCCCCATATCTCTGGGGTTGAAGCATATAAGAAGTAAGAACCAGAATCTAAAGGGAAATTAAGATATCTTTAATAACTTCTAGAGGTACAGGCATGCAAACTTTGGAAAATAATTTTTATGGCACTCCGACATTCTATGAAATTGTTTTGATAGAAGAAAACGTCTCAGGTTACTTATGTAACCATGGTTCCCTGAGTAGGGAACGAGACACTGCGTCCTCTAGGGGTCGCTATGGGGAACGCCTCGTCGTGACCCATGGCTGTCGCCGGCCAACGAGTTGGTGTTTTTTCAATGTATGCTTCAGACACGGGTCACGACGAGGCGTTCCCCATAGCAACCCCTAGAGGACGCAGTTCGAAGTTCCCATGAAAGGGAACAAGATATATTTCTCTTTTTAATATAATTTATTCTTCATACAATATTCTTTAAATAGCCTACAATGGTTTTTGATTGCTACATTTTCAATTTGACAATTTACTTGAGCCACCGAAGCCTTAAAAATTAAGATACCTAATGAAAAGTTTAAGAACTAAATTTAAAAATATATATATATTAAAGATACAATATGTAATTTTTTGTCACTAGAGGTCGCATTTTCAAAACAATAACAAAGGCGAAGTTTGATGACGCTATGAAGGAGGATGTTCACAGATGAGGTAATGAATTATTTTTTTTTATTACCTGTCCCTTCCATAGTTATTCAAACAGCGAATAAATTATACAGAGAATGCGAGCAAAGAACATTTACACTGTCAAAGAACAT